ATAGTGATATATCCATGGCTTACGCTCATGTATTGCGTGAAGGTTTATAAGTTTGAGATTATTAAAGTATGAAACAATTGCTTGGCTTGTCATCGGGGTTGTGCATGATGAGAGCATTCTTGTGTGACGAAAATGGAGCATGACTAAACTATATGATTTTGTAGGGATAAACTTTCTTTGTCCATGTTATTTTGAGAAGACATAATTTCTTAGTTAGTATGCTTGAAGTATTATTATTTTTATGTTAATACGAACTTTTGTCTTGAATCTTTCGAATCTGAATATTCATACCACAATTAAGAAGATTTGCATTGAAATTATGCCAAGTAGCACTCCGCATCAAAAATTCTATTTTTATCATTTACCTACTCGAGGACGAGCAGGAATTAAGCTTGGGGATGCCTGATACGCCTCCAACGTATCTATAATTTTTTTATTGCTCCATGCTATATTATCTACTGTTTTGGACTATATCGGGCTTTATTTTCCACTTTTATATTATTTTTGGGACTAACCTATTAACCGGAGGCCCAGCCCAAAATTGCTGTTTTGCCTATTTCAGTGTTTTGAAGAAACAGAATATCAAACGGAGTCCAAACGGAATAAAACCTTCGGAAACGTGATTTTCTCACCGAACGTGATCCAGGAGACTTGGACCCTACTCCAAGGAGTCAAAGAGGCGGTCACGAGGGTGGGGGCTCCCCCCCCCTAGGGCGCGCCCCCTGCCTCGTGGGCCCCTCGGTGCTCCACCGACGTACTCCTTCCTCCTATATATACCTACGTACCCCCAAACGATTAGAAACGGAGCCAAAAACCTAATTCCACCGCCGCAACTTTCTGTATCCACGACATCCATCTTGGGGCCTGTTCCGGAGCTCCGCCGGAGAGGGCCGTCATCACGGAGGGCTTCTACATCATCATAGCCTCTCCGATGAAGTGTGAGTAGTTTACCTCAGACCTTCGGGTCCATAGTTAGTAGCTAGATGGCTTCTTCTCTCTTTTTGGATCTCAATACAATGTTCTCCCCCTCTCTCGTGGAGATCTATTCGATGCAATCTTCTTTTTGCGGTGTGTTTGTTGAGACCGATGAATTGTGGGTTTATGATCAAGTCTATCTATGAATAATATTTGAATATTCTCTGAATTCTTTTATGTATGATTGGTTATCTTTGCAAGTCTCTTCAAATTATCAGTTTGGTTTGGCCTACTAGATTGGTTTTTCTTGCCATGGGAGAAGTGCTTAGCTTTGGGTTCAATCTTGCGGTGTCCTTTCCTAGTGACAGAAGGGGCAGCAAGGCACGTATTGTATTGTTGCCATCGAGGATAACAAGATGGGGTTTTTATCATATTGCATGAAACTATCCCTCTACATCATGTCATCTTGCTTAAGGCGTTACTCTATTTTTAACTTAATACTCTAGATGCATGCTGGATAGCGGTCGATGAGTAGAGTAATAGTAGTAGATGCAGGCAGGAGTCGGTCTACTTGTCTCGGACGTGATGCCTATATACATGATCATACCTAGATATTCTCATAACTATGCTCAATTCTGTCAACTGCTCAACAGTAATTTGTTCACCCACCGTAGAATACTTATGCTCTTGAGAGAAGCCACTAGTGAAACCTATGGCCCCCGGGTCTATTCTCATCATATCAATCGCCATCACTTTATTATTGTCTTGCTTTCTACTTTGCCTTTTACTTTTCACTTTGCATCTCTATATCAAAAATACCAAAAATATTATCTATCATCTCTATCAGATCTCACTCTCGTAAGTGACCGTGAAGGGATTGACAACCCCTAATCGCGTTGGTTACGAGGAGCTATTGTTTTTGTGTAGGTACAAGGGACTTGCGTGTAGCCTCCTACTGGATTGATACCTTGGTTCTCAAAAACTGAGGGAAATACTTACGCTACTTTGCTGCATCATCCTCTCCTCTTCGGGGAAATCTAACGCAGTGCTCAAGAGGTAGCAATCACCATGATAGATCTTGCGTGTGCGTAGGATTTTTTTTGAAATTACTGCGTTTCCCAACAGCTATGGCCGGAGGAGTAAACTGTGGTGGGGGGCACCGCATACGGCTAAGAGAACAATTGATGTGCTACGGGGTGCCCCCTTCCCTGTATATAAAGGAGGGGAGGAGGAGGCGGCCGGCCAGGAGGGGCGCGCCATGGGGGGGAGTCCTACTAGGACTCCACTCCTAGTAGGATTCGCCCCCCTTCCTTTGTTATCGAAGGGGAAAAGGAAGGAGAGGGAGAGGGAGAGGGAAAGGGGGGCGCCGCCCCCTCCCCTAGTCCAATTCGGACTACGATGGGGGGGCACGGCCACCCCTTGCGGCCCTCTTCTCTCTCCACTAAGGCCCATGTAGGCCCAATACTTCCCCGCGGGGTTCCGATAACCCCTCGGTACTCTGGTAAAATAGTCGAACCACTCGAAAGCATTCCGATGTCCGAATACTACCTTCCAATATATGAATCTTTACCTCTCGACCATTTCGAGACTCCTCGTCGTGTCTGTGATCTCATTCGGGACTCCGAACAAACTTCGTTCACCAAAATATATAACTCATAATACAAATCGTCATCGAACGTTAAGCGTGCGGACCCTACGGGTTCGAGAACTATGTAGACATGACCGAGACACATCTCTGGTCAATAACCAACAGCGGAACCCGGATGCTCATATTGGTTCCTACATATTCTACGAAGATCTTTATCGGTCAAACCGCAATAACAACATACATTATTCCCTTTATCATCGGTATGTTACTTGCCCGAGATTCGATCGTCGGTATCATCATACCTAGTTCAATCTCGTTACTGCCAAGTCTCTTTACTCGTTCCATAATGCATCATGCCGCGACTAACTCATTAGTCACATTGCTTGCATGGCTTATAGTGATGTGCATTACCGAGATGGCCCACAGATACCTCCCCGATACTTGGAGTGACAAATCCTAATCTCGATATATGCCAACCCAACAAACACCTTCGGAGACACCTGTAGAGCATCTTTATAATCACCCAGTTACGTTGTGACGTTTGATAGCACATAAGGTGTTCCTCCGGTATTCGGGAGTTGCATAATCTCATAGTCAGAGGAATATGTATAAGTCATGAAGAAAGCAATAGCAATAAAACTTAACGATCATTTGTCTAAGCTAGCGGATGGGTCTTGTCCATCACATTATTCTCTAATGATGTGATCCCGTTCATCAAATGACAACACATGTATATGGTTAGGAAACTTAACCATCTTTGATTAACGAGATAGTCAAGTAGAGGCATACTAGGGACACTTTGTTTTGTCTATGTATTCACACATGTACTATGTTTCCGATTAATACAATTCTAGCATGAATAATAAACATTTATCATGATATAAGAAAATATAAATAACAACTTTGTTATTGCCTTTAGGGCATATTTCCTTCGTGACCTAGCTAAGCTAGGCTCAGCCCACACTGGCCAAAGGCCCACTGTAATTTAACACACGCAAAACGGCCCAACGACACATACCTTCGCTCTTGCCTTCTCTAGTCTTTTTCTTCAACTTCTTTTTTTTGGCAAGAAAACTTCTGATCTATTCATCAACTGTCAAGGTAGTACAAAAACACTAGAAGTAAAATTTACATCTAGGTCCGTAAATCACCTATCGACGACTACAAGAACTGGAGCGAGCCGAAGGCGCGCTGCCATCATCGCCCCTCCCTCGTCGGAGTCGGGCAAACATTGTTGTAGTAGACAGTCGGGAAGTCGTCGTGCTAAGGCCCCATAGGACTAGCACACCAGAATAGCAACCACCGCCGATGAAGAGAGGCATAGATCGAAAGGATTCAATCTGCAGACATATAGACGTAGATGAATGAAGACCGGATCCAGAAGGATCCAGTGAAGGCAAACTCCGACCGGATCCTACGAGATCCGTCAGAGACACATCTCCACACACCCTCCGACGATGCTTGAAGCATCACCAGGACGGGGGCTAGGCGGGAGAACCATATTTCATCTTCAAGAAGCCGTTGGTGCCTCATCTTATTGATCATGGCACAAACCCTAACAAAACTCAGAAAAACACCTAAAAACGGAGCCCTTCTGCCGACAAGGGCCGGGATCCACTGCGCCTCCGTGGTCCAAGGACCATAGGAGACGAGGCGGACCGCTGGCGGCCCAGCGAGAGGCAGAGAAACCAAATTGGAGACAAACAATGAGGACAGACGAGTAGGATTGTGGGTTGTCTCGCGAGGGTAGGAAGCATATCTATTTTAGTCTTTTTCTTCAACTTCTGCTAAGAATATAGCAAATCAATTGTGTTGAACTATTTATGCAAAATCCCTCCAAAATTAAAGACAAATTCTCAATTCATTTTCTCGTAGTTTTCAAGTCAAAATCTGGACGAGATAGACACTATCTCAAGGGAGGGGCAACTTTGCTCCTGAGCTCATCTACACTCGCCATGAACAGTAAAATGAAAAAGATACTAGAAAATTTCGAAACATTCTGATTTTTTTTGCTTGGAAGATGATTCAGTGTGTAAAGTTTGAGGAAAATTTCAGCTCATTTGGATATCTATGTAGCTCTATGCAGAAAAGACTGTTCGGATCGATTTAGTTTTTTTTTGCTGAGAGCTATTCGGATGTTCAAACGAAGTGAAATTTCGCACTGAAACATCTTCCACACCAATAAAATTCAAAAAAGAAACTTTCTAGTTTTTTTTACTATTCATAGGGTGTAGATGAGGTCGGGCTCGGAAATGAATATTCGCTATCTCAATCCCTTTTCCAGGCTCCCATGCTGCATAAAAAACAGACAAACAAGAAGTTCCACACTCGTACGCATGAGTAAATGCGGCCCATCCATCCCCATCCTGCATTCTGTTCGTCCTCCCTATCTGCAACGGGAAAAGGGCCTATAAAACGTCGCCGTCGGGCAGGGCAGCAAGTCCCACTCCCGCACGACAGGACAACCGCAAAAGCAAGGAGCCACCAGGAGAGAATCATGCGTTCCCCTGCCTGCCTCGCCGCCGCCCTCCTCCTGCTCGCGCTCCGGCTGCCGGCCCCCGCCGTCGCCGGCCGCCCCCTCGTCGCCCGCGACCGCAAGCCCGCCCCGTCCGAGGCCGCGGCCACCGCCAGGTGGCTCGCCGCGCAGAACACCTGGGGCGTCCTCAGGTTTCCCCGCCAAATACCACCCCCCTTCTCTCTCTGATCCCTGTTTGGTAACCGGGTTCTTTAGCAGCACGCGGTTTAATCGAATTGGTTATCGCTAGTTCAGAATTGTTCTTGGGTAGCATATCCGCTGAACCGCAATTGAAGTACGAGTATTAGTTAGTAATTTGCTCGAAGACTAGTTTGCGAAATTGTTGCGGTACTTTGGAGAATTGGAGTCCTTTGTTTTTCTGCGAGTCCTTTGTACACGTCTGCGATAATGATTTAGCAGTCAGGTATCACACACCCGAGTGCCCAACTAACTCAATTACTTCAGAGTAGAATTTGGCTAAATAAAATAATGACTCGGAGTTCACCGAGACTATGCTAAGTTGCAACATACCAGCTAGGTTTCGATGTTTGTTATGCTGAGTTCAGTATATATAACTGTCCATCTCTTGGTTTTTAGTTTTTACAAACAACTAGCTTGAACCACATGCTCTGCTGGGAAGTAATGAAAATAGCTCCAATCATGTGAGAACTCAATCTCCATAGTCCATACAATAAACTGATGGTCATAACTCACAGTGAATCGACTCTGAAATAAGAAAACCACGGACAAATAAGTAGCTAACAAACAGTGCAACTGTAAGTGTAGAATCACATTACATGTTTAGAACAACCCAAAGCTGGAGATCATGGCAAGATAATTCCACTTGCTCATAGGTTATTTTCGGTGGAGGGGAAGGCGGATTGCAACCGGAACATCACCGCCATCTCCAGTATGTGTAGAGGGAAAGAGATCTTAGAACTGGAATTTAGCAGACTTGTTTGGTTCTTGCTATGATTATGATACTTCAATCTCGCATTATTAGTGTCTATTTGACTGGGGCACTCACTAATGCTTTGTCGTTTTCTTTTCAGCACAATATCAAGTGATCTAAGTGGCGCTCCATTTGGGTAATTCCTAATTCTTGCACTTTGGCTAATCACCAATGCTTTGTCTTAGAGTCTTTACTGATTGCTGATTCAGTTCCATGCTTATTCTGCACACAGCAATGTAGTTTCATATAGTGATGGGGTACCAGGTGAGAGCCATGGAATTCCCTACTTTTATCTGACTACTCTGGATCCCACTGCAAGAGATGCATTGGAGGATGAAAGGACGTCCTTTACCCTTAGTGAGTTCCCTCTTGGCACTTGTGGGAAGGTTGATCCTGAAAACCCAACATGTGCAAAACTTACTCTTACTGGAAAGGTAATAACAACATACATCCATCATAAGATGATTGTTCACTTTCTTTATTTCCCTGCTGCATATATTTGCTTAACTTTGGCATGAATTTCAATGCTCTATTTCTGGTTTCTATCTTCAAATCTAGTACTAGGCTTGTTGTAACTATGGAATCATCATTATCCTTGTGCTTTCTCACGTTTACAGTCCCGGGTCCTAATTTTACTCCTCATAAGTATATCCATAGACACTTCTTTGTTGCCACTGCCAGTTAGTGATTCTAATGCTTTTGTATTTTTCTCATGGTTTGGTAGAAAGAAGGGGTATAGTGGGGAACTTGACCATATTTGGAAGTAGCAACCTCGAAGCATCGTAGTGACAACTTGGTGCTGTTAGCCTCCATAGTTGTGACAAACAAAAAATTGTATTGGGTCTATCTGTTCTAATGCCTAAACATTTTTTCTTGAGCCTGGCAAGCTATGCCTCTTAAAATATCTGTCATGATGAGAAAAAAAAAGACAAGTTCATCATGATGTGAGATCAAGCACTGAAGCACAAGAGATGTACAGCTTTCTGTAATCCCTCCTAAAATGCACATCTATAGAATGTGACTGTATGTTTGGGAGACCAGATACCACTATGATGTGCAATTCTTAAAAATAATTGTAATTGCAACCTGAAGTAACATTTACTGTTCTTGCAGTTGAAGGTGGTTGACCATAAGTCACCTGAAGCGGCTTTGGCCAAAGCTGCGCTTTTCAGCAAACACCCTGAAATGGAGGGTAAAGATATATTTACCGTTTCCTTGTATATATGGCCAATATAAGTTAGTAAGGTGTTTTTACTATCTAAACATACATGTATTGTTGTTTGGCAGGTTGGCCAAAGAACCACCACTTCGAGATCTTTAAACTGGAAATCGAAAACATATTCTTGATCGACTGGTTTGGGGGTCCTAAACCTATATCTCCTTCACAGTATCTTGATTATGGAAGGTGAGTTACACGAAACCTTTCAAATCTGAGTTTCACGACATATATACACATAGTATGTTGTAGTGCCAATCTATATGTAGATCCCCATTTTGAACAGTTCCTTAACATACATTTGATTTATGCAGGGACCAGGGCTCTGTGATGTTCTTGTGAGTGCGGAATGCTGCTGAAATCCATATCCTTAGCATGTTTGGGTATGCTTTCTGAAAGACGTCAAAACTGTACATACTGTAATGACATACGGGATTAAATAAACACATAATATCGCCTTTGTTGGCATTTATGTCCTCACCGCGGAGCCCAAGAACCGCTGTTCTTGCCACAGCCGGCTTATGGTTTGGGCATAGTGGCACAGGATGCCGTACCGTGACCGTTTGAAAGCGTCGTTGTAGTAGGTATTCTCAAGGGTACCAAATGGGGCAGGGTTACGGTGCACTGGTGGTATTTTGTTGTGGCACTGTAAAGCAACATTTATTCCGCAATATAGTAAATAGTATTGTCACATGTTGCACCAACCACCAAGAGATGGTGTATGAAATGGAGTTTTGATGAGGTAATCAAGTCCCATTCTTGCTGATGGAAGCATGTATTGCGACGTTAGTTCGTACTCTATTAGATTCTTTTACTAGAATAATAGCGCATCGTTCTATGGAAGAGGTAATTTACACAAAGTCTTCGTTCCGATCCTTCTGGCACGCGCCAACGTGTTGAATTGTTCGAGCTGAGTTGTACTCCCTCCGTCCAGAAATACTTGTCATCAAAATGAATAAAAGAGGACTTTTTGTTCATTTTGATGACAAGTATTTTCGGACGGAGGGAGTACTACTGAAATAGAATACCTTTAGTTGACCTTGGACCGGTTTCTGTTGTTCTTTCTTGCAACTAGGCGCTGTTTATTGCCAGAACTAAACCAGATTTTTCTCTGCTGTACGACCTGCAACTTGTGTTCAAAAAATGCTTTTCTCAATTCAAAAGGATTTTTTGTTTGCGAGAAAAAAAGGTTGCGAGTCTGACTTGAACGCAGCTTGATCGCTGAGCAGCAAATGCGAATTTCGTTACACAGTTTGAAAGTAAAGTGATGGTGTTCTGGATCTTATAACACAAGTGTGTTTAGTCAGCAAAGCATCAGGCGGTAACATGAGCCAAACGCTCAAGCAATCTTTGTCCCAGGAAAAGCAGCCGAAATCAGCTCATGGAGAGTGAATTAGGGAGTGATTAAATGTACTTCTTCTGTTCAGAATTACTTGTCATAGAAATGGATGTATTTAGATGTATTTTAGTTCTAGATACATCCATATTCGAGACAAATAATTCCGAACGGAGGGAGTAGTAAGTACTAATTCAGAAGCTAAGATAGGCACCAATGACAGAGAAACACAACCGTAAAGAACGTCGGAGGCTGACGGGAAAAAAATGCCAATGTGACATTTGTGTCACGAACCCACACGACAGTTTCACAAATTGTTTGCATACTAGTTTCTTCTTTAATCACAATTACAATCACAGATGGGATCATCAACGCCTACGTAGATCCAATCAAATTACACTTCAATTCCACCAAAGAATTCACCGGAGCAGGTAGATACACGAATGGCGAATGCAGTTTGTTCCAAACACTTGAATAAACAAGAGCAGAGAAGTATACTGTAAAAAAAAATGAGAGAGAGGAGAGAAGCGTGGGTAGAGCGGAGACTTTTGACTTTGTCAGAACTGGGTCGTGTTCGACCCGGACGGCCCGGCGTAGTTGCTCCGGTGGTGCGGCGGCCGCCGGAGCGACACCATCCCCTCCGACACCACGCTCGCGTCGTCCCACTCCCTCCCGAGTATCCCGGAGGCCGTCAGCGCCACCTCGTCGTCCTCCCCGCGCATCGCCCGGAGCGTGCGCCGCGCCATGTCCCGCCCGACCCCGCCGTCGCTCTCGGCCACCGGCATCAGCGCCGCCTCGACGCCCGCCGCGCGCGCGAGCCCGCGGAACCTCAGGCTGCCCCGGCTCATCCCGTACAATGCCGATATGCAGTACTCCTCCTCCGCGCTGCCCGGCGCGGCCGAGCCGCTGCGCATGATCCCCACGATGGCCGCCACCGCGCCGCCGTCCATCAGGGCGGCCCTCCCTTCCGGGCACCCGGCGAGGTTCGCCAGGATCATCACAGCGAGCTTCCGCAGCGCCGCGGCGTCGGCGTCGGCTTCGTTCCCGCGGTCCCGCGCCTCCGCCGTGGCCAGCAGCGTCCGCACCACCCCCGGCGTGCGCGCGATCTTGGACCGGTTCATCCCGGCGAGCGAGACGTGGTACAGCGCCATGCCGGCCTCGCGGCGCGCGCGGTGGCCGGCCCCGCCGCTCGAGAACAGCTCCAGCAGTGGCGGGATCGCGCCCAGCACGCCGATGGCCGCGCGGTTCTCGTCCTCCACCGCGAGGCTGTAGATCGCGCCGGCGGCGTGGTCGCGCGCCTCCGGGTGGCCGACCCGGAGCACGTCGACGAGCGGCGACACCGCTCCGGACCGCACGATCCGCACCTTGTTCTCCGCCTCGAGCGACAGGTTCACCATGACCGCGGCCGCGTTGACCTGGATGCCGGCGTCAGCAGACAGCAGCATCGGCCGGAGCGCGGCGAGCAGCCGCGGCGTGCAGAGCTGCGTCCGCATCTCTTTGCTCTCCCGCGTCGCCTGCCGCAGAGAGGCCATCGTCGCCTTCTGCTCCGCGGGGCTGGCGCCGTCCGCGCCGAGCACGGCCATGATCTCCTCCTCCAGCGGCTTCGGCTCCTGCACGAAGTCGTCGCGGGCGCTGTAGTCGACGCTGTAGCGGTTTCTTGTCCGGACGGAGGAGGGCTGTGGCTGCGGGGCCGGCTCGTAGTTCACCTGCGACCTCTGCTCCTGGCGCGGCGGCATGAGGCGGCGGACGATGTCGCCGGCGGTGTCGAGGGAGAGAGGGGAAGGGTGGGGCAGGCCGAGGCGCTCGCACCAGTTGAGGATGGCGGAGCGGAGCGCGACGTTGGGGATGAGCACGAGGGGAGACGACGGGAGGCCGGCGACGGCGGGCGGGTAGAAGGCCAGCGCGGCGCAGGCCTGGATGCAGGCGCGCTCGATGGTCTGGCCCGGCGGCACGATGACGGGGTCCGCCATGAGCGTGCCGGAGATGGGGCAGAGGAACTCCGCCGGCGGGTCCACCGTGGTCGTGAACGATGAGGACGGCGACGAGGACGCGGAGGACGCCGGTGAGGAGGCCGCGAATGGCCTCCACCGCAGCCGGGCGGTGCCCATGGACTCGGCCGTGTTGGTGTTTTTCCTTGTGACGACCAGACGATACGTTGGCTTTTTGCGATGGCTATAGCGACCACTGGAGTTGTCGCCCGCCGTCCTTTCTACCGGAGAGGCGCTATTGGTGGTGACCGGTGATTCTTAAGCCGGAAATTTTATTTACATCTCATATGAGGTTTTCCAAGCAAGGCCTAAAACATTCAACCCACCAAAAAATACCCTAGACTAATTCTTTTTACCTTCCAACAGAAATCCAAAATGCGAACCAACTGTGATTGGTTAGTTAGAGGGACAGTGGTATCGCAGCCCACCAGGCTTAAGTCTTGGTGCTCGCATTATTTCTGGGTTTATTTCAGGATTCCTGGCGATGCGCTTTCAGTGGGAGGAGACGTTCCCGTCGACGACGATGCGGCTACAGTGACTTCGTAAATCTCAAGATGATATGTCGGCTCAGTCTCTCAAAATGTGCTGATAGAGGTAGGATGTGCGTGTGTGCGTTCATATGTATGAGTGTATGTGCGTATGTATGAGCGCTTGCGTCTGTACTGTGTTAAAAAAACAGAAACCCAAAACATTCACTATTACATTCATGAAAAAAATCTTTGGAAAAAATACTAAGATATATTTAACCAAATTCCTTGGAAATTATAAAAATGTGACATCCAAGTGCCTGCCTCCTAGGACCGACCGTCTTCATCCTCCCGGACAGGCCGATGGCGTCCAACCCAGGTCGCCGCCCAAGCCTTGCCGAACCGCCACCGCTCCACACAGATGCCCACCCCCAGCTTGTTCACGCCTCCCTTCTTCCTTGGTCTAGCCGCCGCAAGTACCGCCTGCCCCTGCAGATGCCTTTCATGGCGGACACCATGCCCAACAAGTGCTCGGACAAATGTCATAGACAATTTCTTTTTACTTTTTTCTTAGTCTGGAGCAAACATGATGGATTCGAACACAAATTTCTTCTACACCGAGTTTATGGATTTGTCCTCAACAGATGAGGATGATTATGAGGATGAAATAATGATGATGCAATCGTTTATTGAAGATGCAAAACATGCAGAGGAGCATGTTCTCAATTCCAAGAGATCAATCAAGGGACGTCAAGTGTTGAATCTGAATAAGACATGAGGGCATATGATGCTAATGGAAGACCCAATGCAGTATTCAACCATATTTCCCCCTTCGATTCCGGATGTGCAAAACTATGTTTGATCGGCTCTACAATGTTGTTCGGGCCTTAATGACTATTTCATGTGGAAGAAGTGTGTTGTTGGAATCATTGGATTCTCTAGTTACCAGAATTGCACCGCAATCTTCATCAAGACCATCTCTAAACAAATGGGTGAGAAAAGATCTCACTTTTCCCAATGACAAGAAGGATCTAGAAAGAATGTCGAGAGGGCATTTGAAGAGTTCCAAGCCTGTACTGTGGCTATTCGAGGACCTGCAAAACTATAAGATGCATAGACATTGTGGGAGGTGATGACAGCTTGTGTGGTCTTACACAACATGATTGTGAAGGATGGGGGTGAGAGAGTTTGCCATAGTCTGAAATTTGAGCACACGAGTGATCCTATCTAACTTCCAAAGCAGAATCTGATGAAATTTGAGGATTTTATCCAAATGGCATCAAAAGATTCACCATCGAGGAGATAATCTGGTTGACATCTGTGGGCATTCCAAGAGGTGAACTAAAAAATGTGTCAAAATAAGTTGAATTCAAATTTGAATTATTTATTGCAAAACTTCTTGTTTGAATTGTAATATTTATATTTGAATTATTGTTGCATTGAAATATTTGTGCAACATGATTATGGATGAAGGATGCTAATTATTTTTAATTACTTTGAGTACTTCGGATATAGAAGAAAAAAAAGGTGTGGCCATTTGGTGCATAGGGT